GGGGGGGCCTAGGGAGGATGATAACAGGCTGGGAGGGTGTAGGAATGGGACAACAACCGGTAGGAAAAGTGTAGGGAGTGGCGACAATAAGCAGGATGGTGCAGGAAAGGCGACAATAAACATGTGAGGTGTAGGGGCGTAAACAAGCATGAGAGGGGACAAGGGGGAGGAAATATGAGGTAACCACCACCTTCGAGCTGGATATAGCCAGATCATCACTTGTCCTTGGATCAACCCTAATAAGAGGGAAAGATGTTGACTAGGAAAAATTGCAGCAAAAATAGTGGTCTAAAACACAATGAATAACATATATAATCCTTTGGTAAAGAGGAGTGGGCTCCGCTCCCAATAAGATTGAAACATGCACATGGAAGGATGGTTGATTCTTCTCCTACCTGGACCGAACAGGTCTGTCGTGCAGCAGTTGTTGCGTGGGTAGAGGCTCCCATGTTAGTCTCCTGAGGTTGGGGGATCTTCAACCTCATCTTTTAAAACTCCTAGTTCCTCATTGCATGAAGACAAATCTGCTACGTTGGATGTAACAAAAGTATTGTAATCTCATGGTAGGTCGATCCTATTGGCATTGTTATTCGGCCTCTTGAGAATCTTGAAAAGTCCATATGCCTTGGGCTTGAGCTCCCTGAAGGATCTCACTGGAAATGTTTTGATCTTCAACCTAATCCACACTATGGAAAGTCATGTTCTTCTTAGTTTTATTTCTCTATGTCTGGTAATTGTGGTTCTGTTTAGTGATCTCCTTTGCCACTTCTTAGTGGAACTTCTAAATCTCTTCAGCATCCTTACTAATATCTGTTTTCTTGAAGGAGTGCTACCAAGTTAAGTGGGGTGAGGGGGTTGTGCCCATACACGATCTCAAATATGGTGTGCCCTGTGGTTTGACTCATGGATCTGTTGTAAGCAAATTCGGCTTATGCTAAGATTATGTTGTAATATCTTTCCCCACAAAGCTCAGAAGCTTCTCTGGGCTTCTGTTTGCCATTTCCATCTACTTGTCCCTCTTTGGATGAACTGTTGAGCTAAATTGAAGTTTAGTGTTAAGCTTCCCCCACATGGTTCTCTAGAAGTGCCCCAGGAACTTGATATTTTTGTAGGAAGTAATGGTCTTGGGTGTCCCATGCAATCTCACAATCTTCCTGAAGTCAGATACATGTGATGCATCCAACATCCGGTGATATGTTATGAAGTGAGTCCTTTTTGAGAATCTATCAACCACAACTATCAAAAATTCCTTACTCCGCTGTGTTTTCAGAAGACCCGCCGCAAAAATTCATGCTAACATCACCCACAGGCCTACGATACTGGTAATGGAGTGTATAGTCATGCATTTTGCCTTCTGGTTTTGGCCACATGACAAATTATGCATTGGTTGACGTGTCGTTTCACATCTCTCGTTAGTCGGTGCCAAAAAAGTGTTTTCGCACGAGTGCGAGAGTCTTGTTTCTGCCAAAGTGTCTTGCAATTCCTTCGTCATAACTCTTCTGTATGGTGGATTCACTTAGCTAAAATGGAGGAATACACAATCTATTTTGGTGGAACAGATAACCATCAGCCTTGTGATACTACTTGGTAGGCTTTCACCTGACACTGCTCCTAGATCTCTCTGAAATTTTCATCTATCCCATACACAACTCCTTCACTACTTCAAATCCTATAACTCAAGTATGCATAAAAGTGATCGGCAAATGACGTCAACTTAGTGCATCTGCTACTCAATTCTAGCTTCTTGCTTTGTGTATAAGCACGAACTAGAACGAGCTAGGAACACTCTACTCATGAAGCTTGTCGACCTTTTAGCTTGTTCTGATTGTTCAAGAATCTCAAAGTCTTATGATCCGTAAATAAGTAAACTTGCTCGTCAATAGGTAGTGACTTCACTGATTAAGAGATATCACGATCATATAGAACTTTTTGTCGTACATCGAATACTTTCTCTCAGACTCATTCAACTTCTCATTGAAGAAGAATATGGGTTGGCCTCCCCCTCTTAGTATTACTCCGATCCCCACATTTGATGCTCACACTTCACTTCAACTGATTGAAGTTCGATATTACCAATATTGGTGCTCGAGTTTAGAGTAGCGATACTGGACCGAGCTGCCTTCGTCCAGTGGAACTTTACTCTTTTCAAAAGTTCTGTCAAGGGAGCCATGATGGCACTAAAGCTTTTGATGAATATTCTATAGAATGATACCAACCCTAAAAATTGACTTAACTCGGTAAATGACTCTGGGGGCGTCCAGCTCACAATGGCTTCATTCTTCGCAGGATCCATCTGAATGCTTACACCAGACATAATATAGCCCAAAAAGCTTACCTGTGCTATCAGGAAGTGACAATTTTTTTGGGTAGATATGTAGTTTCTCCGATCGCAAAACCTCGAATACCGTCCTCCGGTGCTGCAAGTGTTCCTTGTCGGATTTGCTGTATACAAGGATATCGTCGAAGTACACCACTAAGAACTTCCCGATGTGAGCCCGATGCACTTGATTCATTAATCTCATGAATGTGTTGGGCGCATTGAACAACCCGAAATGCATGATTGTCCGCTTATATAATCCATCTTGGGTCTTGAAAAATAGTCTTCCACTCATCCTCTGGTCTCATCCTGATCTGGTGATATCCGCGACGTAAGTCAATCTTAGAAAAGGTAATGGCTCCTTGTAATTTATCCAATAGGTCATCCAGGCGATGTATAGGGAACTTGTATTTGATGGTGATCTTATTGATAACTCGAATCTCAATGCACAACCTCCACGATTCGTCCTTCTTAGGCACCATTAAGGCAAGGACACTGATTGGTACTTTCTCTTACAAAGCCCTTTACCACAAGAGCCTATACCTATCTCTATAATTCTTCGTACTTTGCAGACCTCAACCTGTTTGGAAATACTGATCCAGGGATGAAACCTGTGAAATGTTGAATGACCCCAGAAGTGGCAATCTCTATGGAAGGCTGTTAGTTATCACGTCCTTGAAGTCAACTAGCAGTGGTTGCATAGGCTCTGATATCTCAATCTCCTCCATAGTTCCCTCTAACACGACTAAAGCTATTGTAATCGGAGCCTCTCGTACCAACTACA